CCCGAGCTGTGCTTGACAACCTGCCACACCCCTTTCTGGTTGCCAAGGAAACGAAATTGACACTTCGATATCGCCGTGTGCTGTTTAAGAATGATTACGCCTGAGACTGTAAGATACAAGCATTCAAACTGGTTATCAGATTGGGGGGGGGGGTTGTGTCGGAGAGGAGTGCAATAACAAAAGTTTTAGGTCTTACAATCTGGGCTAGGCCAAGCCAACAGCTGCTACAGAAACCTCTCGAAATTACATGTATAAATATCATTATAAATATAGACTACTCCAGCTTTCGTTTCGCATTCTAATTTCGAAAAGGTCATTTCCGGTGTAAACAAAGCATGACCAGTGACCGGCCGACTGGGAGATTAGTGTGGACTTAGAACTGTCGATCTTTCATGGGCATTAGAGCTTTTGTTTCAGCAGTGTTGGTCGCTTTTATTGTTGGAGGTAACGTAGAGTGATAGATGATGGAACTGGCACCTAGTGAACCACATTTTCTTGTATTTGAGAATATTTCGACCAGTAGGCCTACTTGCTCAAAACCATGTTCATTTTATTCAGCGATGCAGCCAGCGGCAGTAGCGGGCTGTCATGTTATACGATACGACGTAGGCTACGTAGGCCTATGGCCTATCGCCTATGGCATGCATTCATTCGCTGATACCTCTCAGGACATGATTATAGATTATAGATCTACTAGATCTAGTACTACTAGATATATAGATCTATGCATGATACCGTACACGACTAGGGCACTAGGGTCAACAGAACGGATCGTTAATGACGAGGTTACAAGTTTTCTTAAACTGTAGCCACTGTAGGGCCGGCTTCACAATTACGCAGCAGTTTTGGCTTTACTCTACTGTCCTTGTTCTCTATTGACAGGAAGTTTTTGTTTAGTGTTCATTTTTTTTCTTGCAAACTAGAGATCTATAGAGGAGATCTATAATCTATGATATTATGAACGATTCTAATTTACTAAATTTGTCAACAGTCAGCGAGCCTCTTACTAGATCTAAGTCTTACAATATTATAGCCTAGATCTAGATTCTAGATCTAGATCTACCTGGTATAATTTATTGAAATTATTTGAGCTCAATTTTAAATTCGAAAAGTCACAATGTAAAATTACTTTTATTTATGCAATTCAATGATACAGGAGCGATGTAAAACATGTTTTGACAGGAAGGAACAGAACAGTTGGAAGTTGGGTATTTTCATCGTCCCATGTTTGTGGTGTCGGTGCTGCTATTCCATCTTGCTACCAAAAGGTTGTTGGTTCGAATCCCTTCTGGCAAGTTGAAGGACCCAATGTTGTGTCCTCCTAGGGAAAGATAAAGAACACGTGTACATTTCTCTCACTTCATGCGTGTTGGAATGGGTTCCTGGCTACAGACAACGATACTTCTCGTCAGTTTGTCCATCTTGTTGTGACTTGTGCTTCAGCTGCTACACTGTATTTTTGTGCATGGCATGTGTTCCGGAAGCCGAAAATGTTTATGAGTGTTCTTAGGTCTGCTGAGGAAGTAAATGTAGGAGTTGTATTTTGAACTTTTGGAGGTGGTTTTGAAGTGTGGGAATAATGACCTCTCTATCTCTATCTCTAGATCCCTCTCTTTTCTTGTGTTGGGTTCTAGTTGGTCATGGGTAGGTCTGTGTGAGATTTGTCTCTCTCAGATATATCTACCATGTCTCTGTGATCCAGGGTCTCTCTCTCTCTCTCTCTCAGATATCTACCATGTCTCTGTGATCCAGGGTCTCTCTCTCTTTCTCTCTCTCTCAGTATATCTACCATGTCTCTGTGATCCAGGGTCTCTCTCTCTCTCTCTCTCTCTCAGATATCTACCATGTCTCTGTGATCCAGGGTCTCTCTCTCTCTCTCTGTCAGATATCTACCATGTCTCTGTGATCCAGGGTCTCTCTCTCTCTCTCTCTCTCAGATGTCTACCATGTCTCTGTGATCCAGGGTCTCTCTCTCTCTCTCTCAGATATCTACCATGTCTCTGTGATCCAGGGTCTCTCTCTCTCTCTCTCAGATATCTACCATGTCTCTGTGATCCAGGGTCTCTCTCTCTCTCTCAGATATCTACCGAGAGAACAGAATGGGCAAGCCATGGGCTAGTGTGGTCAGCAAAGTCCAAGCCCCGGTTCAAAACTTTCTCCGTCCGGCCGTGTGGGTCCCAGGCCTTCGTAATCTGCACAGCCACCGAGAGACGTGAGTGAGACGTTTTGTTTTGTTGGTTTTTTCATCATCCTTTTTCATCTTTTTGGATTGAAGTTGAAGTCTGAAGTTCTACCACGCGATAAGCACCTGAAAAAGATGGTTTCACACTGTGTAAAAAGCATATAGGCCTATATAATATAATATGTTACAGTAAGAACACGTACCTAGTGAATACGCGTTATATTTAGGTGAAAACGCTTAACCCCTGTTTCACTCGGAGATGTCACGGAATCACTGAAATAATCAGGAATTACATGAAATCCCTGAAAAAAGGAGACAGTAATTACGCGTTTGTAATCCCTGATCAGACATGTGTAGTATATATATATCGTCGATGGGATTCACAAACCGGCTACATGCAAAAATTTCAAAAATCTTTTTATTTGCTTAAATGAATAGTAAATAGCCTAATACGTGTTCTCAATAAATATTAGGTTTGAAAAAAAACTAGAAATATGTTTTAATTGATACTTTCCAAAACGGACACCTGCAGCTGATGGAAAAATGGGATCGTAAAACCGGCCATGTACATAGCCGCTTCGGTTTCACCAGACCGTCGCGACACGCGTTGACACGTGCCATCGAAAACCGGCTACATGTTTCCCCGCAGCGCATCACCCCGACCGTTCCGTATGGTTTTTTTCTCTTGAACTAGACAGAATTGTAAACTGTTTTCAGTGTTCATCGAGATAAATAATATTATAGTCAACAATGAAGTGACTTATAATATAAATCATTCGTGTGATTCGATTTACTAGATTAGATTTGTCAATTAATTTATGCATCTAGATGAGACATAAGAACATGAAAGATCAATAGAGTTCCAGGCACATTATGGGCCCGCACCTTTACAACAAGCTCTCTCTCTCTCTTCTTCTTCTTCTTCTTCTTCTCCTCCTTCTTCTTCTTCTTCTTCTTCTTCTTCTTCTTCTTCTTCTCCTCCTTCTCCTTCTCCTTCTCCTTCTCCTTCTTCTTCTTCTTCTTCTTCTTCTTCTTCTTCTTCTTCTTCTCCTCCTTCGCCTACATTAATTGTTGTATTATAGCAGATTCTAGTGTTAGCTGCTGCAGAGCAACTGTAATAGCAGTATAGTAATACCATCATTATACTCATCATCATCATCATCATCATCAGCAACAGCAGCAGCAGCAGCAGCAGCAGCAGAAGTAGTAATACAAAACTAATACTATAAATATTATAGAAAATATTTTAATAATAATATGCACTCTATTGTTATTATTTCATTGTTGACTTTCTGGATGCAATCCTTTTTGTTCTTGGAATTATCCTACGCTGTGACCTTGGGTGTGAACTGATATTATTCATTGGTCTCTTCGCAAAAGTAAACGTTTCAGTCATGATGTATACTATATTGTGGCAGACATCATTTTCTTACGATTCACTTATCACGCATCAATAAAGTCATCTATTCAAGTATTTGGTTTTAGTATTAATATGCCAGAGATATATTTAGCAGAGAGAGAGAGAGAGAGAGAGAGAGAGAGAGAGAGAGAGAGAGAGAGAGTGGTTCCAGGCAAAAACCTCCGCCGGCGTCATCTGTGATTCACGATTGGTAAAGAAAGGACCAAGAACAAGTCATCGAAAGAGAGAAAAAAACCTCCCGAAATATGAAATGGCTATCTTTGTCAGGTTTACAGAATAGTTCATCCTGGTTAATGCAGTTCTTCTATAATAATCAATGCTAGTCCTTTTCAAATATCACTTTCTTGACATTTTGACATGAGTCTGGCTGAGGATACATGATGGATTCCCTATGTCGAGATAGATGCCCGGTAAAGCTGAGTCTGGCAAAGACATTGGAGAAGACTGCCGACGATGGCAAGTGCACTCCAGCAAATTATCCACGATTCACCTCTATCATGGAGCCACGATATTGCCCATGGCTATCACCATCGACTCCGATTCACCCTGGTGTTTTGTACATTTCACTTTCAGAAAGTATCAATGGTATTCTTAAGAATGACCCTGAGTTTGAGATTTTTCTTTATACTATTGCCAGAGATCCCTACAGCTGTAGGCAGCAATAACGAGGGAACTAATGGACATAGAATTGGAAGGCGGCGGAAGGCATGTGTGATGTATGCAAAAGGAATGGATTCTTGCGACAAGATTATGGACACGTGCGGCAGGGAGGTGGGTAGAAGAGGAATGGAAAAAGGAAATGGTAAAATTGATCCTTGTGAGGGACTGCCTTCTCGAAAATAACAAGTTGACTAGCACAACTGGAGACGAAATGAGACCAAAAGGCTGGAATAACAAAAGCTAGAATAGCTCAACAAATCCAAAAAATATACTATTGTCAGAATAATAGATACCATTGGGACGAATTCAGTTATAAGGAAGGAGACAGATTTTTTAAAAGCAGTATGGAGACTCACATGGGTACAGAACCGTACATTTGTAATTCATTTTAAAAAAGATGATGTGATCGGGAGCAGTGTTTTATGCGTCTGGATCAAGCCGGTCTGAAGAGACCAAAGGTTCAGAAAATAAAGCGCATTCAGGTATTTTCAACAACGTAGCTGACAGCTTGCGGAGAAAGTTTGCTGTCACTTCTTTATTGTGTCAACCATCGGACTTTGGAACATGATGTGTTAGGAACTGGGCGATGAACGAGGAGTCAAACATGAATGCACGTGTGGCCGATGTATCCTCAGTGTTCAACAAGTTATCTCGACAATCATTATATTACTGTATGGCTCAACTAAGCTGTACCTTGAGGCCCCTTTCCAAAGTTTCGCTGACGTGTAATGCCTCTACACTTCAGATTATACAGAAATGAAGCAACGCTCCCTCTGGTGAAGCAAATTTTCGACAAGCTCAACTTGGCTTTGTTCTGTCCTCGTGAGTATCGTTGCGATGTTTACTTGATTATTGTGGCAACGTGGGTGAACACGCTTGGTTGAAACATTGAAAGTGAAGAAACAAACAGAAAGCCACAGCCGACAAGGAAATAGCCTTCAAATCCTTAGGTGAAGATGAAAAACACTCTGGTGTTGAATGGACGTGCCAGCTGTTCCTTTGGTACTAGGAAGCGATGCGTCTTCTCTGTATTACAAGATTAAAATATCGGTGCATCATTTTACGTTCTACAACGTTGCTGAGATTGGTCTGGTGGGCTGAGACAGAACGAATTTACAAAGTACATAATCAACTTTGTGAAAGGAATCCTGGCTGCCAAAAGTAACTCTTACACGGTGATGATTGGACATACCAAACCGATATTCGACTTCGGCAAAGCCGCTTCTTATTTGTGCCTTGAAACAGGGTTCAAATCGAACAAAGAAAACCAGGAAAGGAGCATCTTACAAACAGACGTGGGTTTCCCAGCTCAACTATATCGAGAGGAGGTTGAAGACTCCCCTACCTATGTGTCAGCCCAGCATGTCCATAAAACACAGTCATCACGCTCAAACCCCATCCATACCATGTGAAATATCTGCAACACCAACGACTTTCAGGATTACATTAAGAGCATTTCCGACCATTTCCAACCTAGTAAGAGAGTCGGAGACTCTTCGGTGACGGACAGGAGGTGTATCCTGATGAGTCACGGAGGTGAGCCCCGCCAAATTCTCCCAAGAGGTCAAACCAACCAAAGTGGGAGCTGGTTGACCCAACGCCTGCCTACACTAGCTCCAGGAAAATGAAAAACGGAGAAATACTAACATCTCCTAATGGTGTAAGATGTCATGCCAGTTGACTACCATCCATTTTACCACGCTCTGTCAACTGACTAGCACCGAACATTGCTCATAGGGAAAGCAGAGACTCACAATCATTGAATTCAAAAGTGATTTTTGTCGTCTATGTAGCTTACACTGTTTCATTGTTTATTTATAATGTAGGAATTCAAGCGTGAGGAATGATGAAAGATAGTGCACAGGAAGAAATGAGCCCATCTATGTGCAATCAAACGATACTAATGTTTTTTCAATCACGCCCCAGACAATAAGATGTAAAGTGACCAAGTTTTAAATGTTATTATAATTCAACCGAGAACCGAACCCATGATCTCCCGATCCAGATTAGAGCCCCGAGACCAACGTTTGCCATACCAAGGCCCTGCCCTTGGGGGATATCGAACAAAAGTGAAGGTTTCTCAGACAAATACTCAAAAAAAGTTTTGTCCTGGCTTTTTCAACAACTGAATTTGTGTTGGTTTGGGGTTTTGTTTGATATCTTTGTAAACACAGCGATGTCTTCTTATCAACAATTCTAGTCGAACAATTGATGACCTGGCACTTTGGGATATTTCACGTAGTACAGCTGAATTTCCACACGGGCAGATATAGTCCCCCCCCCCCCCTTTTCCTCTTGAATAACCTAATAGTGTTGATAGGGCGTTGAACCTTAACCATTGCACATGTTCAAGTACATGTATTGGCCTTCAGACACCGGGTCGACGACTTCTCCTAGTACTGGTCACCTAATGTAAAATACTAGGCGAGAGAGCAGCTAGGATATTAAATTAAATTCATTAAAATTTCCATCATAAATCGACAGGTAACAAAGTTTGAACCCACACCTCCCAATAACCAGGGTTAATTAATTTACTGATAAAGGACCAGTCAAAGCACTGAACTTGTCATTCTAATCTAAAGCATTTTGTGTATGAATCGACCAGGTTAAGATTCAAACCCAGTTTGAACCAGTCAGTTTTCATTAAGATAGATCAATTAGTTCAAATCCTATAACTCGCCGTCGTCCACGTAGATCTCGGCCTATACTTATTATGACGACGAACAGTGGCACACAGCTGCGACAAACCGGCTACATGCTGCCTCGTGTCACGGCTGTGCGGGGAAGCGTCCTGCCTGAACCGGCCACCTGCAGAGAACCGGCCACCTGCATTGTGCTGCACATTTTTTGTGATTCCATAACCGGCTACATGCGAAATAAAACTATCGGTTGTGGTATTTAAGAAAAATCAAGTAGTATTTGCTCCCAACACTTATAACTTAACCTTCTG